CAAGCAATGGGGTCTGCAGAATAAAGTTGGCAAGGCCTTAAATCACTGGAATTGGAACACATTTGGCAATATTATGACGAGTGGAAAAGGTTAAAAAGGAACTAAAGACAGTTGAAAATGCTGCAATTAATGGGCAGGCTGATGAGGCCTCACTTCTTGAAGCAAATGAAAACTTGCTCACAGCAGTGGCCTGGCAGGAAAAATTTCTGAAACAGAAGGCTTCCACAAATAAATTCACTGATGGAGATAGGAACACAGTTTTTTCATGCTTGTATCAACTACAAAAGAAAATGTAACACAATTCACTCTATTAAAAATAACTTTGGCAACTGGATTAAGGAATCATCTGAAATTGTAGAAAGTGTTGTGAACTACTGTCAGCAACTAATGAAATGCTCATCCAACTCAAGAGTGCTACTTGACCCTGAATTGTTTGTTTCTGATCATGTACACACTACAAATATCAATCTTGCTTATGTTCCTAGTGAAGAGGAAATCAAGCAGGCCCTTTCATCCATTGACAGCACCAAATTTGCAGGACCTAATGGCTTGATCCCTGGATACTGCTAATATGCACAGTACAATAACAATTCAGAATATATTTCACTTATATTTCCTTACTTTGCAACAAAACCAAAAGCTTGATCCTGAAGAAAAATAAGAATTTAACTTTTAATTTATATATATTGGGATACCACGCAAGTATACGTATCGTTATAAGTAATATAGGACTTTTTTATTAAGACCTGAATATCGAACCCACAGGGAGAATATGCAATATGCATTATTGAACAATAAACTTTCTATTTTTAATAAAAAGATAATTATCTAAACTAAAGATTATTTTTGCAGTAATGAAAAATTTAAATATTTTTCATATTTTCAATATTTTGATAGAACAATAACAATTTAAAAAGATAACTAGAGTTTTTGTACAAGAAAAGTACTAAATATGAAAATATCTTTATACCAAAATCCAACAACAAGGAACATTGGCAACATTTCAGAACCATTAGTCTCGCCAATGTAATGAGCAAAATATTGATGAGTAGGCTTCAACCCCATTTGCAGTACTTAATAAGTCCAAAACAGGCAGCTTTTGTGAAGGGGAGGCATATAGGAGATAATGTCTTGCTTACACAAGAATTGCTACATGACTTAGAGAGACCTTGTAGGGGGAGTAACATGATCTACATACAAACTTGATTTAAAGAAAGAAGGCTTATGATATGATAAATTGGGAGTTTGTGCTTGAAATACTGGTGGTCAGGGGATTCTTCAGTGCCTCATGTCAGATTATAAAAATATGGCTTGACGGGAATGTGAATTCAATGTTAATTAATGGAAGAACCCATGATTTCTTCAAAGCATCCAGAGGTCTCAAACAAGAAGACCCACTATCTCTTACTATCTTCATCCTTACTTTGGACTACCTCTCTAGACTGATTGATAGGCCTAGTCACAGGAAGAGCTACAATAAATACCATCATAAATCAACCTTGGACATCAGTCACTTGGTGTATGTTGATGACATTATTATTTTTTCTAGAGCCAATAAAGCTGCTACCAGGATGTTACATGCTTGTTTGTTGGATGTTCAAAATACATCAGGGTTGCTATTTAACAAAGAAAAATGCCAAGTCCTCTTCAGCAAACAGGTTCCCCCTTCCAGCAAGCAATGGATCATTAATCTCACAGGTTTTACCTCTATTCCCACCCCTTTCAAATGTCTGGGAGTACAACTGCTTAAAGGAAGGACCAAGCTTACCCATTTTGATGAGGTAGTAGATAAAACAAACTCCCAATTACAATGCTGGAAAAACTCCTTTCTTTCTAATGGTGGCAGGATAACAATGTTGAAAAACATCCTCACTACCTTCCCCTCATATATCCTACAAATGGCAGCTATGAAGAAAAGCACTCAACTTCTCTTTGAAAAAGCATTTAATAGGTTTCTCTGGGCAGGGCAGAGAAAACAAATGATTTGGGCCAGCTGACAAAAAGTTATCAGCTGGAGGTCTGGGATTCAAGGGACTTTAGCAGATCCAACACATCAGCCTATGCAGATTATGGTTCAGATTCAGACAACAGGATACACTGTGGGCACAGTTCATGTTAGCTAAATACTGCAAATTTGCTCACCCCAATATGGTTTCTAGGAGATTGGGGAGCATGGGGTGACATGCTCAAGGCCAGAGAAGATGCTGAAAAGTTGTATTTATGGGATCTGGGAAAGGGAAATCATTAGTTTTGGTTGGATAGATGGTGTCCAGCAGGATTACTGGATCCTATGCTGAGACTCCTGGTATTGATCTCATGGTGAAGGACTGCTGGGAGGAGAACTCCTTATCAACTGAAATGCTAAAGACCTTAATTAATGAGAACTCAGTCATACAAATTACCAAGATACCTTTTGATAGAAATAGAAAAGACAAACTGGTTCTAACTTCTTGCTCCAACCAAAGCCCGACTAAAGCTATTTATGAAAAGTTGTATCACTGAGAATGTTTGTGGAACAATTTCCTAACCCCCTCCATGTCCTTTTTATGTTGGAGATTCTTCAATAATTTGCTATCTACTGATGATATCCTCAAACTTAAGGGATTGAGAGGCCCTTCCATGTGCTGCTTGTGCATAAATGTTGTGGAGTTTGCTGGCCATTTGTTCTTTACCTGCAATTTTTCCCCAGACATTCTGGAAGTCCCTGCTAACTTCAATTACATATAAATACAATCAATCTGGAGTGGAGCAATTTGTTAGCCTGCTAGAGTGGATGGCATGAACTGAAGGTGGGACCTATCTCCTTTATTGCTGCATGGTTTATCTGGGCTGCTAGAAACCAGGTAAAACATGAAGAACAGCCAGTAGCTATTGGGAAAGTGGTCTCCAACTATTTAGCCTATATCAGAAAACTCATCCAATTAAAAAGCTTCCCCAATATTTTGATTTTATGCAGAACAGCTGGCCCTCCAAATTTTATAGTGGTAAAGGTGTTTTGGAAAAAGCCTACCCACCCTTTTGTCAAAGTCAACACTGATGCGAGCTTCTCCTCACAGAGAGCTAGTATTGGAGGAGTGTTCAGAGATCACCATAGACAATGCTTGCTTTTCTTTCAATCCATAATCATTGTTGGGGATGCCATGGAGGCTGAAACAGTGGCCAAGTACTGGGCTCTGAAGCTAGCCAGCCTGAACAATTGGACACTCTTACAGGTAGATTTGGACTCTTCTCAGCCCTTGCACTATATGACAGGAAGGAACAACTCCCCTTGGCACATACTGCAGTGGATCAAACAGATGAAGAACATGAAGGAGATGAGGGTCTTTTTCAATTTCATCTACAAGGAAGGGAATAGACCTGCTACTTACCTAGCTAAAAGTGGAGTTGAGTCCCAAAGGGTTAGTGTATCTACCTCACCTACTTCTTCTCTTTGTTTTTTGCTTCAGGGGGACAATTTTAATGCCCCACGCCTTAGGCTTGTAATCTCTTTTTGATCTATATATATGAATAAATTTTTATAGATACTTTATATTCAATAAAGCCAAAGTCAGTTTCATCGTAAAACATGATTTATTTTAACAAGATTTATTGTATTCAACTATGGTAATGTGCATAGGAATAACGCTTGTTATTAAATACAATATTTCAAAGTTAAGAAATTTATGAAATAATTAATTATGAAAATGCTATATATAGCAAATAGCAAGCCATTCTAAATATTAAAATAATTTATGGCGACATATACAAAAAATAATTCAATGTAAAAAGTATGACAAAATCTATTGAATGTCTAAGTAACTCACCACAAGCTTAAGGAGTATGTCCATAACAAAAAATAAAAAATGATATGCTTATGCTCTGATAAATATTACTTATCTTCTTTAAAGCGTGCTAAACGAGACTCCGAATTTCAGTTAAGACCCAAATAAAACTAGGTAAAAATCAACTTGAAGGTCTTATATAATACGAAATCATAATTAACCGCACATACATAGGCAAAAAATTTAATATTTAGCTAATATAAGTGTATCCTAGTCAATATAGTTCGTTGCATAATCAATCTAGAAAATTTTTTATAATCATTGAAATTATATATTAAAATTAATCATTTAATCTATCCTAAATTTAATTAAATTGAAGCCCAAAAATAAGCCTAAAACGACCTAGTTTGTTGAACATTACCCATCCAAAGTAATTTGAATGTAACAAAATACAAATGAGAGAAGAAGATAAAATCGCTATAAAGATTAAGAGCAATAAATTGGTCATTATGATTTTGAAAGGAAAAAATAATAATTGAGGGAGTCAACAATTTACCCAGCACAATGTATCATCAACTAGACTGAAACACAAAGGAGATGGAAAAGGAAACCTAATTTGTTGTTTCGTTATTATTGCGATCAGAAGAGAAAAAGGCTACAACCAAAGATATAAGTGGAACAATAAAAAAAAAAGAGAACTTAATTGATGGAAGAAGTTTAGTGTGAGGGTTCGTTGTTGAGGACTTGAAGGCACAAGAGGAAAGTGTGTTGTTGATAATCTAGACATCACCTTATCCTTCAAAACGAACTTGTGGATATAGAGGGTATGAGATTTCATGTGAAGAATGATCCAAGAGGTTCAAAAAGCATGTGATGCTAGGGCATCATAAGTTCAACGATTAAAGCAAACTGAGTGGTACGATGAAGAGGACGGGAAAATGTGAGTCTGGTAAGCTTGGGCAATTCGATTGGATCAAGTTAGCAACATTCCAAAGTGAAGCAAAAGGTCTTTCTGCTATAATTATATATTTCAGGCATTATTCACTTCTTGTAATTAACTAATTAGCCTTTCAAACCCAACTAGTGGCTCCAAGGGCGCACCACAAACCAAAACTGCTAGTGTGCATTTAAACTTACTATGACCTATGCTATAATGTCATAAAACAGAGGTTTGTTTAGAGCTCAACAAAATTGCAAAAGCATAAATAATATTTTATAGAAAATAAATCATGAAATCACCTTCTGCCTCTGCAATATCAGCTACAAGTTGAAAAAACTCTAGTCCTTTGGTAAAGCTTTTAACTTTCCATGACCTCTGTAGCTTCATAATACCATCTTCATTTATCAATTTCCAGTCTGGCACCTTGATGAATACAAGATTCGGAAACATGCAAGATAAATCATTATGGACGAAGAAAATAAAAAAAAGCATGATGATACCTGTATAAGCAGTTCATTGGCAGTTTGCTCTGTCATGATTAGTATATCTTTTGAATTGCAAGGCACACATTTTTTAATTGACAAATCTGAGGTTTATCATCAGAGACAAATATCCAAATTTGATAGTCTTTTCAGTATCCAAAGAATCAAAAAATCCAGTATGAAAATAAATTAGCTGTACAATATCGACTGTCATTAATACATGAATTCACACAAACACTTAAAACAAAGAATAAAATAACATAGCAGCTAAGAGATTTACATCTGATAAAGTTCATTCAAATAACTCTAAACTACCTGAATTGCTCATGCATGGCAATGAGTCGACTGTCATTAATACATGAATTCACACAAACACTTAAAACAAAGAATAAAATAACATAGCAGCTAAGAGATTTACATCTGATAAAGTTCATTCAAATAACTCTAAACTACCTGAATTGCTCATGCATGGCAATGAAGCCTATATGTATCTGTGTGTGTGTACTACCTGAGACGTATTTTGTTATAGTTGAAAGCTTCAAGGGATACTCAAAACTCAACTACTATAAGAAAAACTCTGGCACTAGGAGAAAACACGAGCAGTGGTGATACTAATATAAATGTTAATAATGAAAAATATAACGATATATGGTAAGCACACTATTAATAATGAAAAATAATGATCCTACAGTGTATAAAATTTCTTTGAGCTAAGCTCACAGAGAGTCTTTCTCGCGCATAGAATCAAGTTTCTTCCTATTGTTTTGCGGAGCTAGTTTTTATTGTCTGTGGTCATACTTAAGTAGCTCGTACAGTCTCCATCAAATTACCAACCGCTTGTTTCCAAGATTAAAATCTTAAGTGGTTGAAATAAAAAATAAAATAAAGAGTTATTCAAGCAGGCAGGCAAAAAAATATGAAAGGTTGTGGTTTAAGCTTCTACTTTAATCACAAGAAAAAAACCAATCACGAAATTAAATTTAAGATTGAGTTACGGAAGTGAAATGAATAATTAGATATTACCACGCACCTTGAGATGCAGAACAAGCACTAAAACTCCTAATAGGCGTTGCTCGAAGAACATGGCGAGATGGAACCTTAGATATCCAATAAAATGAGCTGTTCGAATTCACTATAACAATTGCTTAACAGAACAACAATCTGTCCCATCTTGTATATTAACCATTGTATCCCGCGAAGAATATAAACAAAAAAAAGTTTGGGAACACAAGAAAAAAATTCCAGGCAACTTGTGAAGAAGAATATAATCGCGTACCGTCCATTTCCGTCGGAGAGAGTTTCAAAGGAGGATGAGACTAATCTTAGCAGATGCGAAAGAGGGTAGAGGAATGAAAGACAGATTGGCAAGAGTGGAGGATTCTAGGAAATCTGGCTTACGGTTTTGGTGCCGAGGAAGAGCGATTGTGCATAAATTCGGTTCATCCTGCAATCCGGCCAATACCGGAAGCGGTTTTCTCGAACCTTCAATTGTGTTGGAAACTAATGACCAACTAGAAGAATTTTTTTTCGGAAGTATTTAAAACAATTGGTTATTGGTTATTTTAAATAGCTTAGAATTTGATTAATTATATTCTAATTTCTTTGGTTGTTTGGTTGGTTGGAAAATTAATTAATAATTTTTTTTTTAGGGGATTTTACTTACATAGCACATTAAACACCACTATTTACATGGTAACATATCCAACTCCCCCAGTTTTTTGTTGTACATATAAGCGCACAAATCCAATTTAATACCACAAAAAACAGCTTTTGTTACTTCTTGGTCCTCCATGCTATTATATGACCATACAAGAGGTTCCCTTCTCCAATGAAATAATTTTACAAGCGGATGAATCGTACTTGTGGATGGGTGTAGTCTAGGGGACACCCCAAATTCTTACATACGAATTAAACACGCAATATTCTCTCTTCTCCAATGCACAAAAACCTGCACTTGCCCAATCCACAAAATTTCCCTTTTCGTTGCTTCACTTCTTCTATCAAAGCTGCATAGACGCGATCTCAACCTCTGAAAACGCGAAGCATCAGCATCCCCAACTCCTCCATTGATATCGCCTCAACATTGTCTTATATGAATTTATTGATCAATGACGGGCTTATATACAGCCTTATAAGTTACAACATATACAAATAAATCCCTAGACTTCATCTATTTACAAATTGAACCTCTACATTAGATACAAATCTCAACACTCCCCTTCAAGATAGGCAAAAGATATTCACTAAGCCCATCTTATCACAAAACCTAGACAAATATAATGAGCTAAGTCATTTAGTGAGGCAGTCAATCACTTGCTCTCTAGTGGGTATATGACTTAGCTTCAGTAACCCGTTATTCAGCTTTTCCTTGATGAAGAATTTGTCAATCTCTACATGTTTGGTTCTATCATGATGCATCGTTTTGTTGGCGATGTCAATCGCTGACCTGTTGTTGCACCACAACTTCATTCCGGGAGCTCCACTAATAAAGCTCTCAACCACATCATTTTGAAAACACTTAAGGTCATGGCCCTATTCACTGCCCTATTATTGATCTCACTACTACTGACTGTTTCTTGCTCTTCCAAGAGACCAAGTTGAAACCTCCTATCATTGACACAACTCTCTTGGTCAGAATCACGATAGATCTCAGTATCTAGGCTCCCATTTTTCCTGAATATCAACCCTTTCCCTGGTGCATTCATCAGTTACCACAAAATCTGATAAACTGCATCTATGTGGCCCTTCTTTAGATCATGCACTCACCACACCTACAAAAAAATAAATATCGAGTCGAGTGTGGCACAAATAGATCAAGCGGCTCACCAGCCTTAGTTACCTCTCACGATCAACTGATTCACTTGTCTCTATACTGAGCTTGACCATTTGATAAATTCGAGAAACTACATGTTTGCAGCCCCGCATACCTGTCTCCATGAAATTATCAAATAAATACTTTCTCTAGCATAAGACCATCTACTCAGTTCTATATGCCACTTCAATCTCAGGAAATTATTTGAGTTGTCTCAGATCCTTTACCTCAAATTGCTTCCCTGATCTTCCCTTTAGTTAAACAATCTCTGCCTCATCATCACCAGTGATAATTATGGCAACACATAAACAAGTATGGTAGTGTGATCTTCTTTTTGTTGAGAGAACATGATGTGTTCTACATTGATCTGGTGATAACCCATGCCAACCAAAACTAGTCAAATCAGGCTCAAGGAGACTGCTTCAATCCATACAGTGACTTCTTGAGCTTACACACCTTGCCCAGTATCTAGAATGTACTGAATCATGATGGAATCTCCATATATAGCCCCTTCAGTAGCTCCCATAAAGAAATGCATTCTTCAAATCTAGTTGGAAGAGTCTCCTTCTTAATTTATTGCCAGAAAAGCCAATGTCCTCACTGTTCTAATCTTTGCTAGCGATGCAAAGTTTTGATCATCATCAATGTCATACGTTTGACTACACCCTTTTTCCACTATTCTTACTTTGTACCTTTCCAAATTCCCTTCTGGAGTTTACTTTACCATGAAGATCCAATTGCATCAAACTATCTTCTTCCCTGTTGGTAGTGGTACTCCCATGCTCAATTTTTACCAAGAGCTTCAAGTTGTAAATGCATCATCACTTTCCACTTGGGATCCTCCTTGGCAACCTACTGACACTTAGTTATAAACACAGAGTCCAATGATGCAATGAATGCTCCATGTAAAAGTGAGATGTTTGAATAAGAAAGAAAGTTTGCAATGTCAAGTTCCCGCCCAAAACATTCAGGAGGATGTCCCGCATTGCTGCGAGAGGTCCTCCTTAATAGTGGAGAGAGGAGTGGATGGAGGAGGAATAATATCACCTGAGATTTTTAAATCAAAAAGTGATGGCGTATGTGTCAAAAGAGTTGGGGAAGACCGGGACTTGTTGGCATTGCAGACTCTGTTCCCTCAGTTTGCATCTTCATCCATGTATACACCCTTAACTCACCTTTAGCCTGAATTCCTCCACCTTTGGGGTCAATATCCTTGATTTATGTCTTCTTAGTTGATTCATCTCACATCACATGGCATGGAATCTTTATCACTTGCACCATTCAATCACCACTACTACTCACACTCTCTTGCCCTATATGTCTAGTGCCTGTTGAGTCACTAAAGGGTAAATTCACCTCCAAATTGTAATATGGTTCAAAATCTTTAAATGATACTTCCATACTCACAAAGTGTCTCTTCTCAATCGGGCTCTAGCTAACGCAACCCTACTGAGTAGCAAAATAACCCACGAACACATTTCTCAGTTTTGGGATCGAACTTCCCAATAGATGGTATATTGTTTTCATAAAGCATACTCATCCAAATTTTTTCAATGGAAGAATCCCACTATTGACCTCACTTTTGTGAGTACCTCTTCTATCTCTATAGAAACCTAAGATTTGGCATTCGGGTTTCCTAATGACCTTCTTAGATGACTAGAGATGAAACTCACCCATGTAGGACTTCTAACCAATCCTACACTCAATTAGGGTTTCATAAGATGAAGCCCAAATCCTCAACCCTTAGTTAAGATGGTTGAGGGTCTAGCCCAGTGGAAGTACAAGTTGACTTATGCCCATGGAGCTCAGAGCTCAAGTAATTTCCCTAATGACCCTATAAATACCTTTGTAATTCTCATTGACCTAGGAAAAGCCCGTTGGACAAGAGGCTAGTCCTAGGCCAATGAGTAGTATTTCTCTAACCACACTGCCCTAAAAGCTCTGAAAATACCATGACACCAAATTTTAAACCAAGGGGAGGGCTGAGTCGCCAAAGTCAAACTTTAATCTCATCTAGTGATTTCCACAACACCAACCAACCTTGAAATTGACACAAACCATAAACACATCAACTTAACCCAAGAAAATTAAAATCACCAAGATTTACTAAGTCAATTAGTGAACAACTAAACTCCTAAAAAAAATCAAAATTAATTCAATATATTATGGTATGGGACACTTAAATATCAAAATTAAATTATGAAGCCTTACAAAGTTAATGTTTTTGGGCCAACCCTAATCACCTAAGGCTAAGCTTAATAACAAAAGACCAACCTTAACCGCAAGCCCAAGCCACCATGGGAGAGCCCATGGCCCATTCATTATGGGCCAACCATGACACACATGACTCACGTAACCCAAATAACTTTTCATGGCACTATAATATAATTATGAATTAATTAAAAAAAATTAAAGATAAAACAAGCTCAAAATGACAAACTAAGCACACTTAACCAAGGAGACTAACACTTGGCACCCAAGTCCATCTCACCCAAGTTCAAACCTTAGGGAACCAAACTCAGGTCAAGGGTAAGTCAAACCAGACCAATTCTGGTCCTAGTCACCACACCAAAATCTCTCCCAATCACTTCAAGCTTCTCTCCATGCCACTTTCACCACCATTGGAACCACCATGCTTAAGGAATCAAAAAATGGAGAAAGCCCTTCACCTTAGCCAAAAGCCTCTGTACATCCTATGCTCATCTTTGAGAAGCCACTAGAGTCTCCCAAGCAAGCTAGAGCTCCCTCTATGGCCTCTCATGGCTATAAAAGTAGCTAACCTGAGAGCTTTTGAGACACCTCAAGCTCCTTAGTCAGCCACTTAAACCCTTAGCTCTCAAAACCAAAAACACTCCTAAGAACCTTAGCGACCACCTCTCATCATTTCCAAGCAATTTTCACCACCACACAACCCCAATTTCGTCATTAAAATCTAGGGTGTTTAACAGATTTGACATCAACCTTGTCAAAACTCAAAATTAACCCTCTGATAAGCTTCATAAGGTCCTAAAACCTCTCTCCTAATCAAAATCCACTCTTCTTGCACCCTCTAACCTAGCTTAACACCAACTCGAGCCACCCTTTGGTCTAGCACATACTTTGGCCCAATCACATAGCAAATTGAAGTAAGGAGGAGCTTTGTGGCATCAAAGCGGTTGCTCTATCAAGCCCAATTAAGCCACTTGGGATAAGGTAAGAGCTTCAATTCTTTATTTCTTCTCATGATTTCATTTTTTGTGAAGTAAAAGACAATGCTTGACCACATAATAATTTAGATAGGGTTGTCTCACTTAGATAAAGCTATAGGATCAAACCCCATGTGCTTTGATTGAGTGTCGATTAAGATCTTAGGGTTTGAGTGTGAACAAATCTTAGTTCTCTGTCTCATAAAGACGATGAATGGACGCCATCCATTTCTATATAATCAAAACAGATGATTGAGATCATTATGAGACTATGAAACATGTGAAACAGAGGACTGGATCACAGACCACCTCAACGTTAGTGTGTAAATCACAGCCAACTCTGGAGCACCACACATAGCTTCAACGCATACGCGGAATATTGTGGCACCGATGCGGATAAGTGGGAAATTTTAAATTTTGAATTATTTAAATCTAGAAAAATTTAATAAACTTTAAAAACCCATTTCTCCTTAAATAAAAATCATAAAAATAAAATAAAAATACCTCTGAAATTAGTGAATAG